ATGTTTGAATGGCATGCTATATTTAGGATGCACAGTAATTACATATTGCTGATTAAACTAATAAATTATCCATAGTTTTCCAACATTTTGAAATTTCCATTTGGGAGATTCAGCACACTCTAAATTAAAACCTATAAAATGTGTGTGTATACCCCCAGAGACAAAATAACCCTTTCAAAGTCATATTTTGAGTTGTTCTTTCAGATGAAATCATTATACCTTTGTATGTAGGAATAGTTTAGCAAATTCATTGGTTGAAAATGCGAAATTTAAGGGTCCGAAATTTGGGAGTCTCCCACCTAAATAGGGATGGTTGGCAAGTATGCTAATGTTATTCTCCCAAAAATGTTGAGTTGTTTTAGCATACATTTCCAACATTTTAACTTTTATTAAAGTTTCTGCAAAAATTTGTTACTATTTTGGTAGCTCAGTTGGTAGAGCGTCTGTCAAGAGTTTGGAGGGTCTTCAATTCGAATTATCAGGTCTGGCTGTACATTCTTTTCCTCCTTTTAATACATTCGGGGGCTTGCCAACTTTTTTCAAGCGTTTGGTGTATGCTTGGAAAGGGGATACCCTAACCTGAGACTGGTTTGTAAATAATGATGTTTACATGGTTAAAGACTTCGAAAAAGGAGGGAGGAGGAGTGTAGTGGAATTGGGCTTGGTCATTTGCTGGCGACCAGGTAGCTCAATTGGGAGAGCTTCCGTCTAGAGATCTGAGGGCCCTTGGTTCGAATCCCAGTCTGATCGTACATTTGTCCTCTCCTGTCACAGAAGAGTTATGTTTCCTAAAAGATCTATTCAATACAAGATTCCATACCTTATATTTACTTGTAATTACGAGGTTCTATTCCGCCATTCTAATCTGCATCTTATAATAAATAAACATACACCTATGCATTGCAATGTAAATCTTAAGACTGGCATAAAGTTAGGTATTATATATACAGAGCTACAAGTGCACTTACAAAATGGAATCTGTTTATTTTTGACCTGAATACTGACATAGTTTCTGGTTTTTAAATGCATAGCATACTCTGTTAGATGTGCCTTGACCTGGGATTAATTAAACATGAAACTGTGAGATTTTTTTCTCTTTCTTTTTCTATTTTGTTTTTATCAATAAAGGATCCATACCTGGTCACCAATATTTTAATGTACCTTTAGATGCAGTGACTGTAAGGATGCATAAAGATTACAAATACAATACATTTATACATTATATAATTAAAGTATAATATGTAGGAATGGTGAAAAAACCTGTTACCATATTTCCATGTTTTACTTTCTTATTGTTCTTTTTTTACCAATATGGTAACCACCATATATACCTTTCATAACATAACATTTTCTCAAGATAGGGTCTACTTGTACATAACTGACCTTTCTTCAGTGAACACCGACAACGCAAAATAATTCACCCTTTTCCTTGCTTGTATGATCAGGTAAGGTGAACACTGTGACCTCTGATAATTCTGCCAGATATTTGTTTACCTTTATTCATTTATGGATGTTCCAATAAAAGGCACATTAAAATAATTTTAAGTCATACTAGCAGATCCTAAATGTGTTTTACATTTATATAATTACGCTATGAGGATATATATTTCAAAATATGTACAAAACATTTTTTTTTTCAAATCAATGAATATGTAAATGAATGGGTTATCTGCACTCATGATTCCAGGTGCATACTCTATACTCAGGGGTTATACCCACTTACGTTCTCTGCACCACTGGTTTTTGTCATGACACTCAAGATTTAGTTTTTGAAGGCTCAATGTGTGCCACCTTGTGGATGAGACAAAAAGACTAGTTTGATCTTTTAATATACATATCTAAACAAGAATCTTTTGGTAGTGTAAGGTAAAATTGACTGGCTTTGGAGTTTGGTGAAGCTCTTCTGTAATCTTCAAAGGACAGGAATCAGCCTTAGCGATTGGTCAGGTGTTTTCACCGATCGGTCAGGTGTTTTCACCCAGACAAATCCAATAGCTAGCCCCATGCTGACAATTTGGCTTTGACATGTTCCAAGGGTGCAGAGGGCATTTAGTGAGTTCAGCCCCTGGAGTATGGAGGATGTTCCAGGTGAAAAAGACTATAATTCATATGATCTATTGAATGTAATATAGACCTACTGTTTATATATGCCATTAATGACTGGCTGATTCAAGTCTGAATTGTTATACTGACTAAATCATATCTGATCAATGTTCAGGTATATTGTTTTAAATGTTCAAATACATAGATTGTCATAATGAAGTTCAAATTACAATGACAATGATGACCTTAAATCAATAATATCACAAAATAAGCAATCACAGACAAAATCAACTGTAACATTTTACAATGCAGAATGTTTCTCTAACATTTCCTCTGACATTACTGCCATCAGCTAGAAAATAGGCACTCACACATTTTTTTATCTATAGGGAGGAGGGTATTTTTTATGCAATAAATTTAAAAAAAAGAGAAAATTTCCACATTGATAATAAATGGTTTGATCATTCAAACACAAAGAAAATAAAATCTGATTTAACAATAAAAAATAGTATTAATATATAAAATAGCCAGATAGAAAAGGCCCTATGGTCTGAATACATAGCCTGCTCTTTACTTAAATTACTTTGTAACACGAGCATTTCAAAAGAGCTAAATAAATTCAGGCTAACATGAAGAGGAATGAACCAATGGAGGTGTTCAATTACTTTGTTTTAGCCGATATCCTATGTTATACTTGGAACTATTATGTCCCCACTCTTTATAATCTTGTCTAACAAACCTTCTTTGACCCAAGGAATCATCTCCACTGAAGGCGTAATCCTCCACCTCTACACATTTACCACTGTTAGACTTTGTCACTTAGTGTTTATAAAATAATGTGTCCACTTCTGTCAATGGATCCTTTCTACCAAATTAGAATAAATCTTTTCAGTAGTCTTAAAAGCTAACTTCCCAAAATGGACCCTGTCCCTCTGCTCCCAAGGGTCTATGAGTATGTACATCCTTCTTTTATACAAAATTCAGTCATTGGGATAGCAAATACCTTACACCAAGTTCGGTTAAATTCCTTCAGCCAAACTGTTAGAATAGAACGACTTTTAGAGATATACCCCCATCACAATACACTCTTCTGCCCCAGGTAGGGCACATCCTCCTCCTAACATACATTTATAAAACTAAATCCCTTGGCCTAAAGATCCTTAATTATACCTAATAAATCACCATACCTGTACTAAAGGAGTAGGACTTTAAAGATCTGCCTCTACATGTACCTGGTATGTGATATTTCCGAATGGGTTATGTCCCTCTGCCCAATGGAAGGTTACATCCTTTTGGCAGGTGTGCTAATTAACATTAACAGTATTTTTGAGGGGTAACTGTGTAGACATTAATACAGGTCTCTGAAATGTTAAATATTTTTCCCTTTGTAAAATAAAAAACAAGAGGCCCAGAAGGCCTGTATCGCTCACCTGAATATGTTTAAAATAATTAGTATGAAGTAAAGATATAGCAATCCATGGTAGGTGCTGTAAGTACATATGAAATTTCAGAAAGATCCATCCAGTACTTGAGATAAAGCAGAACAAACTTCAAACAGAGCCCCACCCCTATGCCCCTAGGGGGGTCATACCCACCAATTATACAAAATTGAGACCCCTTTGTCCAAGGATGCTCCAGACTAAATATGGAAAAAATCCCTTTATTTCGATGGTCGAAGAAGGATTTAAAAGGTTTTACCTCTCTTTCTCCTATTGGCCCCCGCCCTTCTGCCCCCTGGGAGACCACACCCACTGCATATACAAAATTGAGTCCCCTTGGCCCAAGGATGCTCCAAACTAAATTAGGATAAAATCCCTTAATCCCTATGGTAAAAGAAGGATTTTAAAGGTTTTACCTCTATTTCCCCTATTGGGCCCCGCCTCTCTGCCTCCAGGGGGGTTAGACACACCGTTTATACAAAATTGGTTCTCCTTCACCCAATGATGCTTCATACCAAATTTGGACAAAATCCTGTCATTCGTACAGAAGAAGAAGGTATTTGAAGAATTTGCTATGTTTCCCCTATTGGGCCCCTCCCTTCTGTCCCCAGGTGGGCCACACTCGCTGTTTATAAGAAATTGAGTCCCTTTTGTCCAAGGATGCTCCAGACTAAATTAGGATAAAATCCCTCAATCCATATGGTAGAAGAAGGATTATAAAGGTTTTACTTCTATTTCCCCTATTGGGCCCCGCCTCTCAGGTCCGAGGGGGCCACACCCACCGTTTATACAAAATTGGTTCCCCTTTACCCAAGGATGCTCCACACCAAATATGGACCAAATCCTTTCATTCCTACAGAAGAAGAAGGATTTTAAAGAATAATTTGCTATGTTTCCCCTATTGGGCCCGCCCATCAGGCCCCTGAGGGGCCAGACCCATGTTTTATACAAAATTGGTTCCCCTTCACCCAAGGATGCTTCAGACCAAATATGGTAAAAAAAATCATTCCTACAGAAGAAGAAGGATTTTAAAGAATAATTTGCTATGTTTCCCCTATTGGGCCCCGTCCCCTAGCCCCCAGGGGGGCCACACCCACCATTTATACAAAATTGAGTCCCCTTGGCCAAAGGATGCTCCAGACTAAATTCGGATAAAATCCTTTAATCCCTGCGGTAGAAGAAGGATTTTCAAGGTTTTACCTCTATTTCCCCAATTGGGCAATGCCCCTCTGCCCCCAGGGGGGCCACACCCACCGTCTATACAAATTTGAGTCCCCTTGGCCCAAGGATGCTCCAGACTAAATAAGGATAAAATTCTTTAATCCCTACGGGAGAAGAAGGATTTTCAAGGTTTTACCTCTATTTCCCCTACTGGGCCCCGCCCCTCTGCCCCCAGGGGGGCCACACCCACCGTTTATACAAAATTGAGTCCCCTTGGCCTAAGGATACTCAAGACCAAATTTAGTCAAAATGTACTAGGCCGTTCAGGACTAGTACATTTTAAAGGAAAAGTTGATGGACGGACGACGGACGCTGCGGTATGGCATAAGCTCACCATGGTCCTTCGGACCAGGTGAGCTAAAAATGCAACCCCATGTCAACTATATGCAAAACATTAACACATCTAAATCTTTTTGATATTTTTCGATCTCAACTTAAGAAACAACATTTAAACCATAAGGCATAACAAGAATTATTATATATAACAAGTTATCTCCCTTCTACTGCTCAGTTTCATAAATAAATAAAAATTGCTCAGGACCTGTCTCTGCAGAACTATTTCCTCGTATCTGTAGAGGTATTTCTGACTTGTTCTGAACCATCGTCTATGATAACACTATCGGCACTGTCAGACGAGTCGGAGTCAAAGTCACTGCTGGACGGTTCAAGGTCATCACTGGGCGATACAAGGTCATCTGTATGGACATCATCAGACAGATTCATCACAAGCACACGGCTGGTCTGGTCGAGGTTGACACTACTGGACACTTCGGGGAAGTTGTTAAGAGACTCAGGTCCCTGGGTGTTATCTGTTTCATTAGCCTCCTGATTAGGTCCACGGCTGGTAGCACCAACATCAATGATGCTGACATGTCTCAGATTGTCTGCCTGGTTAACAGGGACATCAGTGTTCCTTAATGGTTCTGAATGGTTTATACCCACGTTTCCTACAGCTCCATAATTTCCTGCTGGAAAAGTTCCGGATGCAACAGCTTCTTCGTAGCTAGGTAATTGATTGTCATTATCTGCCATTATGTCCTCGTATTTAGGAGGTTCTGTAACCACAACTCCAGAATAACTAGGGGCACTGTCCCATAGCAACGGAGACTGTTCATCAGAAATATCATCATCATCATCATCATCATCTTCTACAGGGTCGGCACAAAATTTGTAGATAAGTACACTTAAAATGATGCAAACAATTCCTGGACAACACAGAAACAGGACAATATAGACCCACAGTCTGGCCACACAGGTGGACTGGATAGACGTGGTCGAGTACATGTACCGTTTACCCGACGCAACCTTATCAGGCTCCAGTTTCACTATAATCTGTTTGGGGGGATTGCTTTCTTCTAGACCAAGACTAAACTCACAAGTGGTTACCTTGTAGCAAGAGGATGTACTGATGTCAGTTTTGTATGCTGTCCTGGTAAGATCAAGTTCACACGATGCCCACAATGATTCCTGACCAATAAATACAAAGAAGTATTCATCAGTGTCAGAAAATGTCCAGGAATTTGGTCCAGAATGTCGTTCATTATAGATAACATGTGCGTACTCACATCCAACGCATTGATAATTAGGTGAATCTTGTATAAATTCTGTATAATTTGCCTGACCTTTGATAATGACAACACCCATGATGCCAGTAACTTGAGGACAAAACAGTTTGGCCGATGACCCTGACAGTAGATAAAACTGGCGGGTAGCATATGTCCATGGCTGATGAAAATCAAAACTCAATTGAAATCCATAATTTTCTTTGTGAGTTGGATCTATTTTGAGTGGAGTTCCCACAATATATGCAGAAAAAGGGGCAAAGTCACTTGTAGGATTAGCTGTGTCAATATTAACACTATCGCAGAATAAATGTGATAACTTTCCGTCTATCACTTTCATGTCTGATGCAGAAATATCAGTGAACAGGCTTCCATAGAAGACAACACCTATCGTTATACCAATGACAAGTCCAATCATAAGTACATACATCCACAACATCTTGATTCTTGATTTTCTCGCAACCATCGCCCGGCTCCAACAACAGCAACAGCAGCATGTAGCACAGCATCCGGTACAGCAATCATCTGGTGAATCATATCGGACCCTGGTCCTAGGGGACCGAAGCCTTCGTCTTGGCATGATGAAGTCTGTTATTGTCTGGAGGATAAAGTAACAAGATAAGCAATATGTTTTCATAAATAAAACCGTTATTTAAGTGATGTAATATCTGTAAAAGAAACCGGACATAATCATATACATGTTGGTTCAATAACAATAATTCTTTTTGCAACATTTTACTTAATAAGCCATACTTTATATGGATGAGCCCATATGCATCAAGGTGTGTTTACTATTTACAGGGGTTAACTATAACTAAGATTGTAACACAGACGTATGCAGTCCGAGTTTCCTCTGGCCCTAACACTAGACTTAGACATTTTGACATATATATGTCTGGTCCTTCACCAGACATCTATGTGTCATAATGTCTAAGTCTGGTGTTAAGGCCAGTGGAAACTCGGGCTAGGATGTATCATTTAGGACACATTCATTCATTGTCACATGATCATGACTGTAGCCTTTAAAATGTTTTATATCTAACCGTGACATGGCGGATGTGTTAGACTTTTTCTTTTATTACATTTAGGCTCATACCTTGCTACAGCATGTTCAGGAGTTTCACAACGATCAACATCGACGTTTTACAGGTTACCGTTAGGTCCTGATCCCGTAGTGGCTTAGCCTAGTATTTGTCATGCTGGTCGAAAGGTCAAGGACGATTGGAGACATTCTAAATGGCAAGTTGAATGACGGTGATCCGTAACTTCTGCCTGAGGTTCCAATCGGGATACAAGTTTTGTATTTATTTCCTCATGGACGTTTTGCATTGTATGGGTTCGGTACTATAAACACACGAGGCATATACATGTTTTACATGAATTAAACAAATACTTCGGAATCTAATTTGCCTAAGTTCTGAAATAATATTTTCTTCACAGATGTTCTGCCGTTAATCAGTGTACCGTAACGTAACTGTAAGCTTACCCAAAACGCGACATTTGTGGGGAAACGGGCAAGGAAAGTAACATGTAGTTAAAGTTCTAACAGGTATTTTTATGTTTTCAACTTTCTCTGCATGTTACTTTCATGTCAATTCATCGAGATATATCGGCTTTACTGGCTGTTGATTAAATATAATCACACGGACAGTTAATTAAGGTCAAAAAATTTTTTTTCTCAAAGATACTGCTAGCCTGGAGAAGGAATTTAATCATAACCACCTTTGAGTCTAAAATATTTAAACTATGTATGTGTTAGCGTTTTATTTCAAATTCCTATTTGCTTTGAAGATGTTATTCCATTCAGAATACGTTAAGATTTTGAATAATAACTTGTGCGTGATATTAATATTTTCATCATTATTCATGAAAGTAAGCAAATCATTATAAGTAACGTTATATCATGTACAGTTTTTATACAGTTTGATTTTTGTTACCTACGATTGTAACAGTTTCGATTGTATTGAAGCGGTTGATTCTTTGTTAATTACATTTAAGGAATGATTTTTATTTTTTCAACATTTATGAGGTCATAACAACAATGGGTTTATGGACATATTGAATGAATCGCGTTAGCGATTCATGTAAAATATGTCCAAAAACCCATTGTTGTTATGACCTCATAAATGTTGAAAAAATAAATATCATTCCTTATATTTACATTGACGAATCCTTTCAGTGGATC